GGTGCATCATGGGAAGGGTCAGGGGACATGGTGGATCCTCCCGGTGCATCATGGGAAGGGTTGGAGGGGCCAGGGGCATCATGGGAAGGGTCATCCGACATGGTGACATCTCCCAGTGCATCATGGGAAGGGTCAGAAGAGCTGGTGGCACCTCCCAGTGCATCATGGGAAGGATCGGAGGAGGTGGCGGTGTCTCCAAATGCATCATGGGAAGGGTTGGAGGAGGTTCCGGTGTCTCCCGGTGCATCATGGGAAGGGTCATTGGACATGGTGGCATCTTCAGGTGCATTGTGGGAAGGGTTGGAAGAGGTGGTGGATCCTCCAGGTGCATCATGGGAAGGGTTGGAGGGGCCAGGTGCATCATGGGAAGGGTCAGGGGACATGGTGGCATCTCCTGGTGCATCATGGGAAGGGTTGGAGGAGCTGGGGGCATCTCCCGGTGCATCATGGGAAGGGTCATCGGACATGGTCACATCTCCCGGTGCATCATGGGAAGGGTTGGAAGAGGTGGTGGATCCTCCCAGTGCATCATGGGAAGGGTCACAGGAGGTGGCGGTGTCTCCAAATGCATCATGGGAAGGGTCTGAGGGGCCAGGTGCATCATGGGAAGAGTCATCAGACATGGTGGCACCTCCAGGTGCATTGTGGGAATTGTCACGGGACGCGGTGGCACCTCCAGGTGCATTGTGGGAATTGTCACCAGACATGGTGGCACTTCCGGGTGGCTTCAGGGCAGTGGTGGCACCTCCAGGTGCATTGTGGGAAGGGTTGGAGGACATGGCGCCCCCTCCTGGTGCATTGTGGGAATTGTCACCCAACATGGCGCCGTCCCCTCCCGGTGCATTGTGGGAATTGTCACCGGACATGGCGCCGTCCCCTCCCGGTGTCCCCACCGTGGCCACGCCCCCTGTGACGTCACCGCCGTCCCCTCCAGGTGAGGTGGGCGTGGCCCTGGGCCGGGCGGGGCGAGGGAGGGGCGTGGCAGAAGGGGCGGGGCCATCCCCAGAGGGGGCGGGGCCATCCCCAGAGGGGGCGGGGCCATCCCCGGAGGGGGCGGGGCC